GTCCTCTACTTCTCAATAATTTTAATCAGATCACTCCGATCCCCCGTTCAAACTGAAAACCACTACAGTTCCCATCTCCCCTTCTCCAATGCCCTAACTGATAACCTCAGCCCATCCAATGATCGATCTTATTCATTATCGTTTTCGTCAATCTACCACTCTCCAGAGATTTTTAAAGCGAGCTACGCCGAAATGGAGAAAAGATTTAGGGTTTACATATACCCTGACGGGGATCCGAAGACCTATTACCAGACGCCGAGGAAGCTCACGGGGAAGTACGCGAGTGAAGGTTATTTCTTTCAGAATATACGGGAGAGTAGGTTTCATACTGAGGATCCTGATCAAGCAAATATTTTCTTCATCCCCATCTCCTGTCACAAGATGAGGGGAAAGGTAAGCTTTCTCATACTGCTCATTGAAATTGTTAAATGTTTGATCAATGTCATTATAGGTCCATTTATACGCTGTTATGATGTGATCAATTATTTTTAAATCATTTGTTGGTAAGAAAAATAAACCTGAGATATCTAAAGCGTTCACACCTTTTAATAATTTGATCACCTATTGTTACAACTCTACCACTAGAATTACTACTACTAAAATTATATTCCACGTATTCAATTTTAGCTCTACTCAAATGTAGGCTTTCAAAAGATTTTTAGACTCCAAAGTAATCTCCATAATTTAAGTTTTTTTCTAAACTCTTTTTCCAGAGTTATCCACAAGAAGAATATCATCAGTGAAAAGTATGCACCAAGGTACATCCTCCTGTAAATGTCTAGTAAGAACATACATAACTAAAGCAAAAAGATAAGGGCTTAAAGTCGATCCCTATTGTAATTCAACTGAAACCCTAAAATAAACATGATATAAAATTTAATTAATTTTTTATTTTAATAAACTATTAACTTTGCATATTTATTTTATGTAATCTTAATTTTATATATATTTAAAATTAATATGAATATTATATTAATAAATTTCTTATTAAAAATTATAATTATTAAACTCACCCTAAAAAAATTTCTTAGAACTATGGAGGTCTGCATTGGAGTCTAAAGGTCTTCGTTTGAGTAGAATTAAAACAAAAAACATGGAATGTAATTTTAGTAATAGTAACTCTAGTTACAGAAGTGTAAAGTTGGGTGGTCAAATTATTAAAAGGCGTGAACGATTTAGATATTTCGTGTCTATTGTTCAAAGCGATTGTGATACAGATGGGGATGTAAATAGTAGATTCAAGTTGGTTGGTTGAAGCGGAGGAATGCTTCAGGGCTTTTGTGTGATAGCAAAGTACCGCTTAAACTAAAAGGAAAATTTTATAAGATGTTGGTGAGACCTGCAATGTTCGATGGTATTGAATGTTGGCCTTTAAAATATAAGCATAATACTAAGTTATTAAGTTAAGTGTTGCCGAGATGAGAATGATTAGGGGGATGAGTGGCTTTACACTTAGAAACAAAATGTGAAATGAATATATCTGTGATAGGGTTGGTGTAGCTCTAGTAACGGACAAAATCAGAGAAAGTCGCCTGAGATGGTTTGGTCACATTAAACATCGACCATTTAATGATCCGATTAGGAGAATAGATGTTTTAGATTCGACTTATGTTAAGAAAGGCAGAGGTAGACCTAGGAAGACTTGGGCTTACTGTATAAAAAATGATCTTAATTTATTAGAATTAAATGAAAATATGACACTAAATAGGACGCAATGGAGAAAAATGATTCATGTAGCTGACCCCACTTAGTGCGATTAAGGCTTTGTTGTTGTTATTGTTGTATAAACATGAGAATGATGAAGGTGCCTATAAATGTTTTGAAATTACTGATCATTACGTGGCTTGTTACAATAGCATGGATTCTTGCTTTTTTCAGTTAGTTTAGGATTGAAAATTGCTGATTTATCGCGCATCTGGGATTGTTGGATCGGCATATCATGTAGTTTCAAACCAAATTATGGGATGTAAGGAAAAAAAAACTCAAAAAAATTTGCGGACTTTTTTTAATTTTTTATTTTGCATATAGTTGCCAAGGTACTTATGAATGATCTTAGAATTTTCTCAAACTTTTGTGTGTTGTAGGTTGTGAATTTTTTGAGCTTATTGCTAGTCTTGACCTTTGGTGATTTTTATTTTTGTTCTTTTTTCTTTTTTTTTTTTTATTATTTTGATTGCATTGAAATTTTGTCATGTTTATTTTCTTAATAGGATATCCTAAGTTCTGATTAATAGTTAATAAAAAAAAGTGAAGAGAGACAGTGGCACTGATGAGAAGTTAAAGCAGGGAATCAAATTTTTGGGTTTCAGTATATAATGAGCTCAAGACTAATTCGGGTCAAAATTTAGGGATGTAAATGCAGTTCAATCATGAAGTTAAGAGAGCACAATATACCTTGATTGCTTTAGAAGGGTTAATGGTTTTACTCATACAGGCAAAACTCAAGACTTGATTGTGACTTATTGATAAATTACTCATACTTTTAGTTAATTTACATGACCTGCAATACTTACATTGATTTCAATGCTACTCTTTTGTCATAAAGGATTACATTGACCTAGAATAAAATGTCACGCACATGATGGCACTTTAAACTTTGGAAAAACAAAGTTTATAAAATAGTGACAGGGCATATTAATGATATTTTTTTTTTTATGTTATAAGGTTATGTTAATGGAACGTGATTTGATATTATTGTCTCAAATATCATGCTTGTTTTAACCTCTATTTTATAAGGCATTTATGGGCGCGTTCTAGGGCGAGGCGTAAGCTTATTCGCCCCAAGCCCGTGAGGGGGGCATAAGGCTCACGGGGCATATGCTCGACAGTGCCCGGAGTGCAATTTGCTTCTGATGGGGCATATGCCCCATCTATTAGGCATATAGAAAGGACAAAAAAGAGCTATAATTCTTCATACTTACTCAATCCATGCCGACTCAAGGTCTCCCCACACTCTCGATCTCCTGCACCATTTGCTTCTCCCGCACACGTAGATACACAAAAAAACTCGCCACCATTTGCTTTGTCCCTCTCGCAGCAGGCGACCGTGCCGTCTGCTTCGTCCCTCACGATGGAGTGCCTACTTTGCCTACTTCGTTTGCTTCAACTTGCACGAGACGAGTTGTCGTTAGGCTTCTGCTTCGTCCCTCCCGCAGGAGCGCTTTTTCTGTCCGGACTCCTAACGTAATTCTACGTGCGGCGTAAGTTATTCTTGAGTTATTTTTAGGTTCTACGTGCGGCGTAAGTTATTCTTGAGTTATTTTTACGTTAGCGGTCTTTATTTTTGGGTTATTTCTGGGTTATTTTGGTATTATTGAAAATAACTCAGAAATAACTTCGTCCGCACGTAGAGCTACGTCAGGAGTCCGCATATAAAAATTTTTGCTTCCGCAG